GATTTTCATTGATCAGTTTCCAGACTGAACCGTGTTCCGTTATGATCCAGTCAATGATCCGTTTCGTTCTCGTCAGAGCTCATCAGCTCGGTCATCGAACTGGCTATAGCGGCACAGAACCGAGAGGAATTCTCTAACGGATGCTTTTGAAAACTCTGTCTCCGGATGCAGTACTCAATTCAAGAAAGAACCCGCGCCAATCTTCTGTGGAACAGGAGTGAAACTTGTANTGGATCTCTCAATGTCCGTTAAATTCTATTTTCCCCTTCTACTGCACCGTACGACATGACTAGGTGTATAATCCGGAACCGATTGTGTCCCAGAGATTCATACGCATATCTCAGCTCTCGAAGCCTCTGTATCGTCGGGGTGGGTGTCTCGGGTTATGGCTAGTCACCTCTCCGTTGCACCTCGCATACTCGCTCGTATACGCGACCAAGCGTCTCGAGGAAGACCTGCTCACTGCGTTCCCGTGTCTCGGAGGTGTTTCTCATCAAACTGAGAGGTCGAAAATCCAGGACTACAATCGGGTTGATGAACCACTAATGACAGTTCACCTACAGGAGTTGGCCAAAAACCCTGATTCCAAATCAACCACGATGAGGTGTACGAACCAAAATCATCCACATCTTCGTGGTTGTGGCAGTAGTCACTGACTTGTTTGGGCATCGAGATTTAATTGGGCACCTTGGACGTTTGATCCTCTGTCCAAAGGGCGTATGATCCGATGTGTTCAGTATTCACACACCGCCACGCCACCTTGCGGATCAAACTGGGACTAACCCAAGGCCACGGTTGTGAATTGTTCAAGAAAGTTCACCTGCCTTAACCTGGCAACTGTCCGCCCACATGTAATTCATGAAACTTTCTACCTTTTATAAAGGTTATCGTACCATGATTTGTTTGGCACACACACACACACAAAATCTGGCGTCAGACGTGTGTGAAATATATAAATATATACAGAAATGTCTCAGTGAGAACCAACCGATATGGACCCTGATCGACTATTGCCAGATATCCGGTTTGTGAACTGCCACTGATTGCAAAGGTTGCTTTGTTTGGGCCTCGCAAGTTCACAGTGTGACCATTTTCGGGCCACAGTCGATGCTTTATTTGTTTCCCGAAAAATTCTGTTTTAGTGTGGTCTCCTAATGTATTCTGTTCTGTTTATCACACTCACACGTTAGTTTACTTTATGAATAAACGAATAAAATTTACGTCTGTCCTCCCATCCACCCCGATCGCACTCCGGTTGCACCCTAAAACTTGATCTGGTTTCTCAGGTGTACATTTTTCTCCTCTTCTGGTTCCAACTATTCAACGGGTTTTCCGGGAGCAATGCGATCGATCAACTATCACAAATCCTGTTCAGCATCACATTTACTGGCCTCCCATCCCTGTTGATGGGTATCTGGGATAATCCGATCGATGCGGATACGTTGTTGGCGAATCCGGTCCTGTACCGTGCCGGAATTCAAGGACGAGTAAGTTCTACTCGTCCCGAGGTGTATGCACTGATAGAATTCATTCACAACTCACCTCATTTTGATGCGTCTTAGGATTGGCGCAGTCTCGCGAATACTGTTATTATAGTTGCAAGAAACCAATGTCAGTTTGAGGCGAGATAGGGTAAATAACCTTATACTGAACGAAACATCTAGTTTGCAACAATTGATTAGTATTTTGGTGATCGTATCCTCGTCAGTGATTGCCAGTCTGAAAATCAGTTTGTCTCTTCTATTCTTGTAATAGTAAGCCGTTTAATACACTCCCGGATACCATGAGGATTTAACAATTACTTTTTGGTGCGCGTATACTACTACTACCCACAGCATATATCTAGTGCATACAGAAGGACGTGGAACGAATAATCACATTTGAATCACGAACACATTCCATGTGGGGGACTACTTACTGTCTTTCGTGACAGTAAAACTGTCTATCACTTAGACAAAGTCCTTCCGGGCACGTTAACCTGCTTTCTTTTTTTTACTAGTCAGTTTATTCTGAAAATTCTTTGGTCTTTCTGTTTATAGCTCTGGCTTCTGCCGCGTTCTGCAATCTTATTGTAAAACGTCAATTATTTAGAATCATTCCCCTCTAAGAGCTGTTAAGCTAGCATTCTTCAGAACATCGTTTTCATCGCTATGGTCACATTTCTTCTTGTTCTTTTGACGTTACATTCAAATATACGGAAATATCGTGATATCGTGATAATCATCTTACAATCAATAACTGATCAACTGGTTTTGAGAAAAAAAAAGATTTTTTCGTTGTTGATATTTTCGCGTATAAAATATTTACTGTAAGCTATTGATTTATCGATTAAAATCACTAGCCAAAATTAAACTAAAAACTCTCCTTGTTATTTCCACGTCCAATTTAACATTTCACCAATACCCATTAATTCTGTTTGAATTTCCGGTTTCCTGATGCATTTGTGCTCCATAATTTCATCCAATTTAGTGCATTTCCAATGTGTTTCGTTTTATCTGAATCAAATGAAACGTTACACATTAAACTAACTTGTTTTACCGTAACTTTGATGAACAAATCTCAAACAGACAAATCTACAGCTCGGTGGTCACGTGGATAGCACGGTTGCGTTCTATCTGTTAGGTGCCCTATTCAGTCGCGAGTGGAGATTTGCAAAGGAAACCCTTCGGTACGGAAATGTTTGATCACTTACTGATGGTGTAAACTGGAAGCCGGATAGACGAATTGTCAGTGCTGTTGAAATCCAAAACGTTCCAGACGGATGTAAAGTCAACAATAATATTTTGGATAAAAATCAGAAAATCTCTCTCGCACTGTTTTTTTTATCCCTTCTTGTTTAGCTCAAGTTTTACAAGTTCTTACAAGCTCTAATACATGCCAAATGGAGCTTGCGTCACTTGGGGGACCTTCAAAGAATTTGTTAAGTTTCCTTAACCATTCATTGGATCCCAGATGAATTGCTTATGAGAATTCAAGTTTTGACAACAAAACGAACTAAAATCGGGCAACCCGGGGGGGGGGCGTTAAAATGACGGCGGATATTATGAATCATAATCATCCATAGGGTTCCATCATCTACTGCGCGATAGCACATTGTATAAGTATATTTCCGGAGTTTACTCCAGTATTAAGGAAATCACTGGTATTTTCGTGTCTTGAATGAACATCAAAGTTTCATTGCAGGAAATTCTCACAAGCTGTTGCTTTTTCTATCCATCGGGGTTTTGGCCCCTGAGCGGACCGTCTACTGATGTCACATCCTCTGGTAGACACACACAGACACACACATCTATATAAACACTCACCGACTACTCGACTAGTGACAATCAATCACTGTTCTATCGAGTTTTGGTCAACTACGCTATGGCATTCCGTAAACAATTCGCCCGACAAACAGCTGTTCTGTTTCACCTGATATATACCAGATATCTGGACCAAGCGAGATGAGTAATGCTCAACACAATCTGATGTTCCAGCTATGTCATGTGATTTCACTGTCTCGTCATCGGTAGAATAACACTTTGAGTCAGGAGTTGAGGTCCCCACCCCACCAGAAGACATCACACACACACACACACACACACACACACACACACACACACAAACGGTACCCACCAAGTCCAGATTACAACTCAGATGAACTGATTTTCATTATCGCACAACGTTGAGTTTCATCCACATTCGTGAACTGTAGTCATATGTGTCAAGCAAGTGACCACTGTCCACACATCGAGTATCTGAACCATTTTGATTCGAAATGAAAACAAAACGGGTAGAAAGTTACTTGTCAGGTTATCGGTATGTGGAAAGACGGGAAGTCCATCGTCTCTATCGTTTTTCGGAAGCATTAGCCAAATTATAAAATCTACCATTTCTACAAGTGGATGAAAGGATACGGAGAAATTCAGATCTTGAATAGCCGACTGAATTTGCAAGCCGCATCTGAAAGTCACTCACTGAGGTGGAACACCAATAGGTAATATGGAACAGAGAAATAGAGAAAGNCGGACGGGGGGGGGGATAGAAGTGAGAGTTTGGAAGTCGAAGTGTCAAGGGTACACACAAACGGGATGAATGTAGAAACATGTGTGCGATGATAGTGAGCGACTTGTTGCAAAATACGATCCTGTCTGTTTGTCCGCTGTACTTCAGAAAAAGTTCGTCATTTAGGTTTGCATATCTGATTCCACCGACACAGACATGATGACCGTGTGTTCCGTATACTGACTTCGAGGGTCAATGAGGCGCGAAAGAGCATATGCCTGACCGATTTTTGTCGTGAATCGGAAACGTATTTCGAAATCGTATCCCAACAACATAGTAACCCAGTGCTGTAGTCGGTTAGCTGAGTAAACTGGAACACCTTTCTTCGAACCGAAGATCGCGACTAAAGGTTTGTGATCGGTCAAGAGTGTGATGTGGCGGCCATATAACATCTTGTGAAACTTTTTGACGGTAAATATAATAGCATGGGCCTCTTTTTCCATTTGGCTGGCGTCAGGGATCGTGCAACGTGTGCAATGGCCTTTTCTCGTCCCTCCGGGAACACATACGAGATGACGGAACCAACACCATGGTTTGACGCATCGGCAGCCACTATAATTTTGAGTTCCGGATTGGAGTGAGTCAGCAGCAGTTCGGAGCGCAACATTGTTTTGACATCTTCAAAAGATCGCTGGCATGCTGATGTCCAGTTCCAATTTGCATCCTTTTCCAGCAGTTCGTTCAGAAGAGCGCGTGGGCGGTGCATATCTCGCAGAAAGGCTGCGTAATTTTGCCTGTTTCTGTTTGAAAATTTCTTGTAACTGCTCCGGCGTGATCGGCATTGTGAATCCATAAATTTTCCCGTCGATAGTTGTTGTGTAACTACAGCCAAATAGAAAAAGAGGCCCTTGCTATTATCTTTACCGTCTATATGTTCCACAAGATGATATATTGCCGCCACTTCACACTCAATTCACATCAGCTGTTTTCTCTACGTTCTGTGAACAATCTGGCATAAAGCACATTCATGCGCCACCTTACCACCCCCAGTCAAACGGTCATGCCGAACGTTTCGTGGACACCTTCAAGCGAGCACTGCAGAGATCCAAAGGGGAGGGTACCGCGGGAGAAGTCCTGGAAATGTTTCTAATAAACTACAAGGCAACACCAAATCCCAATGTCCCGAACGGTGAGTCTCCGACCGAGGCAATGTTTGGAAGAAAAATTTGTACACCACTCGATGTAATGGTCCCGGAGCGTCAGAGCAAAACAAACTCTTGGGAAAACGTTCACCCTACACCAGTGGAGCTACAGTTCAACCGCCGTCATGGTACGCGAGACCGACCGTTTTTGAGGGGCCAAAACGTGTTTGCGAGGGACTACCGCAATAAAGAAGAAAGATGGACACTTGGTAGAGTATATCGACGTCGGGGAAAGGTCATCTACGAAATCTTAGTGGGTTCTGAAATTTGGGTGCGGCACGCCAATCAACCAAAACCGACAGCTTGCAATGATGAACCGAACCCGGAACCAAAATTGTCGCTGGTCGTATTAATGGACACATTCGCCATGCCAATTCCCAGTCACGAGCCACAAAAACCAGCACCCTCCGTAAAGGCCGGAGAAACCCTGCAACCTCGACGACATACGGGTCGCACGGGCGCAGCAATAAAGCCGTCCCAAATCAACCCGAGATTACGATCCTACGACCAGCCGTCGAGCTCAAAAGGGGAAGGTGGTAGGACGGAGCCTAAGCAACCCCTCCAATCATGCACGCCTCCGAGTCAGGCCCCACGCACGCCTCCGAGTTAGGCCNTCAGGCCACACGCACGCTCGCAACGCTCCAGACAGGCTGAACTTGATTGGCTGATCACAACGTGTCAGCCAACGTTTGTCCAATCGATCAATCGATATGTCAAGGACACTATCTGATTGGTGCGTCACTGCACCGTTCGCGTATGCGTGACTTGTTCTATATATTTGCGTGTGGATATCTGATCAATGGATATACGCTGATTATGACCTCGAGCTGTGTTCCGTCTCCGCGTTATCGTTGGAGGTTAAGCAATAGTCGCTCGTGTCGTTCGTGCGTCTAGTCCAAACAGAACAGTGTCAGCAGGTGTGGCGATTGTATCATACCGTTCGCGGTGTATCGTCAACTGCTAGATAGATCGAAATTAATAATAATAATAATAAGTTAATAATCTCGTCAAGCACTGTTGGAATGATGTTCAGAAAAATATCGAAAGTTACAAAAACCGCCACATCTGGTGTGGATTTGTGGAGAATGCTTGCAAGCTTCGGGGAACCGTATGCCACGTGGACTGGGTACTATCATTGGTATTTTGTATTTGTGTAACTTGTGTCAGCGTATTTGCTTACATTTC